ATGTGTGGCCATGTGCTGGCTGTCACAGCTGTCCACATGGCACTCACCAGGCAGAAAACCTGTCACCAGCGTACTGTGACTTGGAAGCTTGTGGGCAGCCTTAGAGTAGGGTCCACCGTGAGTGACAGGAGCATCCTTCAGGCTGTGAGAGCCAAGGTTTGTCAGGTAGGTCCCAGATCTTTCTTTCCTAGTCTGTATTGGGCCGGACCAGGCAAGGAGTGTACCATTGGAGCCAAAGAAAAGGGTGTGACACAGATCCCTTAGAATGTTGTAGGAACTCACTCCCTCAGAGCATAAATATGTCATGAAATAATAATACAAAAAGGAAACAAGCTACCCATGAGGAAGCTGTGCTTTAATGATCAGGGTTTTTTTTGGGTGGGGGGATGGGGAGGACCCTCACTACCATCAACCCCACGAGAATTTCCAAGAAGACTGCTGCTCATTATGGAGTAGAAAGCCTCATCTTTCTCCCACGGAGCAGTTGGTGACTTCTTATCTCTGACCTTGGGGTCAGCGGCCCACCTGGTCATGCCACACTATGCCACAAGTGCTCCTTCAATTGCAGCAGGTGAAGTTTAGAGGAGATTTAAGTAAGCATCCTCCAAAAGGAAGACTTGTCAACACAGGTCACCACATGAATACTGAAGGACCCATCAATACACATGTATGTGTAGACCTCTATTATTGGAAAAAGTAGATTGTAATTGCCTTAAAAGGTTAAATCTATTTTTAAAATTATTTTTAAAGACCCTTTTTAAAAACTCATGAATTCTACAGTGTTTTGGGGTTTTTTTCCTTTTCAATTCACCAGGCTGATGCCTGTGCCTTGCCAGGCACTATCTGAGGCTTTTGAGGCTTTGGTGACAAAGGCTTTGATCCTGTGATCTCAGTGACAGTTAATTGCCTGCAAGTCCGTGGCACTTTGTATTCATGAAATGTCACAGGGCCAAGCAAGCACTTAGTAGGCAGCCTGCAGACGTTGTCTGACGCTGTGTGGACATCAAGTCAAGTGTCCATGGGGGGAAAATCAACGCACTTAACTTTGGAGACATCCTCGGTGCTATGTAAACATGCCCCTCAGCTGGCAGGCGGCAGATTGCAGTGCGTCATGTTCAATCTGGGGGCAGTAGTGGTTTCGTGGTACAATTTTTCCCTTGCCGGCCAGGCAGTCTGTGTTGATTCCTGGTCGGGGCACCCCGAGTGAAACTACTGCCTGTCTGCCGGCGGAGGTGTGCGTCTTACCATGATGCTGCACTAGTTCCCGCAGGGGCTTGCTAGGATGCTGAGCGTGCTCATCAGCGGCATTTCCAGGCTAAGACAGGCGAGGGAGAAAGCCTGCCTATCTGTGTCTGAAAGTCACCAGTGAAACCCTGTGGCTCACAATCCCAATGGGCATTATTTGGGCTACTTGATGGCAGCTAATAACACTCCCCTCCCCCACCCCACATTTTATTGTGAAGTAGGCGAAAGTTTCCAGAGCAGATCATTGTTTTTATACTCAGTGATTTAAAGACAGTTTGTTTCATCTCTTCTCTTATGGTGCTCCCGATGTAACATCACTTACCCCACTTCCTCTCTGTGTCCCATTTCCGTTCTTCCTTCTGCACCTTGTCCTTGGGGAAAATGCTACCCTTTTGAGCTGAAGTATTGGTATGTTCTAAATTGTGAATGTCTCCTTAGTGTTACTCACCTTCTAGACCTGCCTACTCACGTCCAGGCCTGAAGAGTGGGTCAGGCCCATGGTCTCCGGGGTGCCACCCGTCTCTGGTCATTAAGCTTGATCTCTTACAATTTTGAGTTTCGGTCCACATTTTTCTCCCACTCAATCCAGGACCTTCAAAGGTGATCTCATTCAGAACAATTGGTAGTTGTAGCTGGGCACCATCTAGTTCTTCTGATCTCAGAGTCATGAAGGTTGATGTTGGTGTGGTCCATTAGTTCATCAGACTGATGTTGGATGGGATGGATGGATGGATGGATGGATGGATGGATGGATGGATGGATGGATGGATGGATGGATGGATAAAGAAAGAGAGAGATGGGTAGGGAAAGTCAAACTTTCTTCTAAAGGTGTTTCTGGTGTGTCTTTTTGTATCTTCTTGATTCTGTGATTTTAAAGAACCTACCTGACAATGGCCCATCCTTGCATTTGGACTAGTGTGTTGTGATGACCATCACTGGCTTCATCATCTTCCCTCATCAGTCTGCCCTCTGACAGAGGCAAAGCAGTTGGATGTGGTCAGAGCAAGAACAGCCATTGTGCGGAGGCCACAATGACCAGCTTCCCCAAGGCCCTCCACAAAGACTCGTTAGCGGAGCATTGCCTTCACAGCAGGTTGGGAATGTTGCCCTGCATCCACACTGGAACAATCAGAGCCTCCCAGGCAACTTGGCCCCCATCCTTGAAACGGGCTTTTCTTTCTTCCTTCCCCGCCCCACCCCACAAAAAGAAGTTCAAAGAGGCAAGGACAGAGCTGTCGGGTCGATGGGGTCGGGTTTCCCGATGAAATGTTTCTAAGGCAGGCCTTACCACCCTC